GGAGCAAGCCCACTGAAATCACGTGTCCTCTACCTGCCCACTGTCCTTTTGGTGTGCCCTCACTCAAGCTGACAGTATAGTCATGTTGCTGTGGGCTACAGCCCCACTGTACCAGTGAGGCAGAGCTAACAGAGGGCGGTCAAGGAACGGGGACGAGGAGACATCCGCCTCCTTCAGCAGCCAGGCGAAGACGAGTACTGCGAGGTGTGTGGCTCTCGTAGCCGTTGGTCTGTAGAGACGCAGGTCTGTCTCCCTGGACCCTCTCATGCAGGCCAAGGGGGCTAGTAGTGACAGCGGAGACCTAAATTGATGATGATGAAGGGCTGATCGCACTTGGCAGCCTCGTTCGTACACATCTGCCAGACCAGTAATCTGCCATGGTCGCCCACGTACCGCCTCCTCCATTGCTGCAAGCCAAGGTCCAGAGTGTGTCATTTGGTGGGGCCCCTGTACGGCCTCCCCATTGCTTGCTGTCTCCTTCCGCCACACTCTGCCATGGTGCCACTTTACAGGTCTCACTCACACTGCTGGTGGAGTTTCCATTTTGTCATAGGGTGCTGGACAGATTACGGGCCTCCATTGCTACTTGCCTATGCCCGTAATCTGTTCAATGGGCCCACTGTACCGCCTCATCATGCCTTGCTGCCAGGTACAGAGTGTGTCCATGGGTCCTTGGTAACTAGGCCTACCCATTGCTTGCTGTCTCCATCGCCACACTTCTAGGCCATGTAGTGCCTCTTACAGGTCTCCTCACTGACTGCTGGTGGGTTCCATTTTGTTCATTAGGGTGCTAGGCCTGATTACGGGCCTCCCATTGACTGACTGCCCAGGCCCGTAATTCTGCCATGGGACCCCCGTACCCCCGCCTCCTAACATCAGCTGCTGCCAGGTCCAGAAGTGTCTCCATGGGTCCCTGTAAAACGGCCTCCCATTGCTTGACTGTCTCATCGCCACCACGTCTGCTCCTTGTGCCACTTTCAGGTCTCCTCACACTGCTGGTGGGTTTCCATTATTGTCATAGGGTTGCTTGGCAGATTAACGGGCCTTCCCATTGCTGCTGCCCAGGCCGCTGTAAAGATCTGCCATGGGCCCACCGTACCGCGTTCTCCACATGCTGCTAGCCGCCAGGTCCAGAGTGGTGTCTCTGGGTCCCTGTATACGGACCGTGCCCATTGCTGCTCGGGCTCGCGGTGGGAGTCGGCCGCCACACCTCTGCCATTATTTGCACTTTCAGCGTCTTCCTACTCACACTGCTCGATGTGTTGGTTCCATATTTGTCTATGAGGGCTGCTGGCAGATTACGGAACGGCCTGCGCATTGCTTTGCTTGCCAGGCCCGTAGAATCTGTCATGGGCGCCCCTGTACCGGCCTCCTCTGCATGCTGCTGCAGGTCCTGGAGTGTGTGCTAATCGGGTCGCCTGTACCCTACCTCCTCATGCTCTCGGCCTGCCAGGTCCCCAGAGTTGTCTCCACTTGGGTCCCTGTACGGGCCCCTCCCAGTTGCTCGGCTGTCTCCATCGCCACACACTCTGCCAGAGTGCCACTTTCAGTCCTCCTCACTCTATCTGGTTGGTGTCCATTTTGTCATAGGGGGTTGCTGGCAGAGTTAAACGGTGCCTCGCCATTCTCCATCTGCTGAGTGCACAGGACCGTGTGAATGCTGTCAGTGTGGGGCCCCTGTACCAGCACCATGCCTCGATGCTTGGCGTGCAGTCCAGAGTTGTGGTCATTGGGCATGTCGCCCGTGTTCGGCCTCCCATAGCTGGCGATGTCTGCTCAATCGGCCGAGCACTCTTGCCAGGTGTGCCACGTTAAATTTCTGGTACTGCCTCACTACTGCTGTGTGGTTCGCATTTGGTCATAGGGTGCTGAGTCGAGATAGTATGGGCGCTCTCCATTGTGGCTGTCTGCCCCAGCCCCGTTAGTCTGTGGTTCATTGGGCCACTTCTGTACCCCGCCTCCTCATTGCTGCTATGCCAGGTCCAGAGTGTGTCATGGGTCTCTTGCTAACCGCCTCCTCATTGCGTGCTGTCAGGGTCCAGAGTGTTATCATGGTCCCTGTTACGGCCCTCACCTATTGATGCTGTCGTCCTGGATCGCCCATCACTCTGCGCATGTTGCCACGTTCACAGTCTTCAGCTCACACACTGCTGTGTGGGTGGTTCCAGTTTTTGTCAATAGTGGTGTCTGCGCAGATTATTCGGGCCTCCGCCGTATTGCTGTGTGCTGTACCAGAGCCTAGTTTTATAAGTCTTGTCATGGGGCCCCTGTACCGCGGCCTCTACCTAATTGGCTGATGCTGCCAAGGCTCACAGAGTGTCTATCTGTGGTCACTGTAAACGTACGCTGGTCCCATTGCTTGCATGTCTCGCATCGCCCACAATACTCTGCATTGTGCCACTTACAGGTCTCCTCACAACTGTCTGGTGGGTTCCATTTTTGTTCATAGGGTGATGGCAGATTACCAGGCCTCCCATTGCTTGCTAGCCAGGCCCGTAATCTGTCCATGGGGCCCTCTGTACCATCCCGCCTTCATCAAAGTGCTGCATGCCAGAGTTCCGCAGAGTGGTCTCATGGGTCCCTGTACCGGGCCTCCCATTGCTGCTGTCTCCATCACGCCACACCTCTGCCATGTGCCAGCATTCGAGGTCTCCTCACACTGCTGGTGGGTCGTTTCCATTGTTGTCATAGGGTTGGCTGTGAGTGATTGACGAGACCGTCGACCTATTGCGTGCTGCCAGGCCGCCCGCGTAAATCGCTGTCATGGGCACCTTGTACCGCTACTCACCTCATGGCTTTGAGTGCGCCAGGTCACACTTGGTGTCTCATGGATTCACCTTGGTACTGGTCCCTGGTCCCATTTGGCTGGCCTGTGGTGGTCCTGGATCGCCAACATGGCGGTGGGTGTTTTTGGTTGGGGTTGGTTCGTTCCATGCTGCCTAGCTTTCAGGTGCTCCGCTAACACATGGCTTGGTGGTTCCATTTTTGTCATTGAGGGTGCGTTGGCAGTATGTACGTGCGCTGTCCCATTGCATGCTGGTCCTAGGCCCGTAATCTGTCATTTGGGCCCCTGGTATCCCGGCCGTTCCTTTAGCTCGCATGATGCGCTGGATAGCGATGGTACAGTGTGCTGGCTGATGGGGGTGGCCCTGTACTCGGCGCTTCTAGTCCACATTGTCTGGCTGGTCGTCACATCGCCAACACTCTGATCATGTGGCCACTTTCATGTCTTCGCGCTCATTCACTGCTAGGTGGAGTTCCATTGTGTTCATAGGGTGCTGGCTTGGAAGATTACGTGGCCTTCCCATTGCTTGCTTGCCATGCCCGTAATCTGCCATGGGCCCCCGTACCGACTCCTCATGCTGTGGTCTCGTTGCAACAAGTGGAATTTCAACCTCTACATAATGTTAGACCGCCTTTATACGAACAGGCGAAAAGGGCCCTTCCCATCCCCCCCAAATCGATTTTTTTTTATTTTTCCTCTGATGTTACAAGCGGATAAAGGATGACTCGCCCTGTGTAACGTGAGAATGTCGGCATGGGTCTTGTGTTGCGGTAGCTCATGCGTCGGGACACCTGCCGCTTGCTCATGTGCCCTTTGTGTGAGTGCCACGGCGCTATTCGTAGGTGGAAGTCCGAGGGGCGTGAGGTCACGTTATGGGATGAACGACGCGTCATTCCCACTGTTTGCAAACGTCCTGGATACAAATGCTGCTGATAGACAATGGCTGGTCCCAGGGTGCGGTAGACGTGGGCCACACAGAATCTCAACGCCACATGGACACCCCTGTGGGGGCAGGACCAGGTAGAAGAGGAGGAGGCTTTGGAGGATGACTCAGGTGGTTGCTTAGTGCAAATTTATTGTAGGTGAATGTTTGGTGTGGTTTTGCCATCTTCAGTAGCGGAGCAGGATCGTGGGAGGAGCAGCGAGCGTGATTGGTAGAGGTTACGGAGGAGCGAGACAGGATGGTGCCCGAGACGCGATCTCTGTTTGGCTTAAAGTATGCTGTGGAGATGTATTGGAGGTGGCAGGGAGTCTACTTGCATTCTCTTGGCACAGAATGGTTCCTCATAGGCTGTATGAGTAATCGGTTGCTTGTCGTAGCGGACTAAGGGGGTGAGGGGGTTCCGACATAGGAATAACCCATGCAGACAGATTGGTGAATGAGACTTTTGCTGCTGTCCCCATCGTTTCTGGGAACTCTCGATTAGGACCGTTGTTTCAATGATAATGGGTATGGGCGCACTTGTTCGCTACACCTGCTTGGAGAAGAGATGGCCAAAATACTATCAGTAGCTTATTACAAAATCCACCTATTTGTACGTCTGGTGGGTCGCTGCCTTCTGCAGCCCAACGTCCAATCCTCATGACACCTGTGGGCCCTGTGCGCTTGAGTTTCCGCTGCCATGCATGGCAGCAGGGGAGGGTGTGGGGTGGTAGGAGCAGTGGCAGCTCCAACCAGCAGCGGCTGCATCAGTCTGCAGTCGATGATGAGTAGCTTTCTTCACCAGCGCAGTGAGGAAACTACAACCAGCCGCAGCAGCAGCAGCATCAGGTGGACCTGGAGCAGGACCTCAAACAACAGGCTTGGGCCTTACTTGGACAGCACCCTGCCAACCGAGGTAGACAATCCCCTTGACTACTGGGCAACGAAACTTGACCTTTGGCCCCAACTAGCTGAATTGCCCTTTAAAGGCTGTCATGCCCGGCCAGTAGCGTGCATCGGAGCGCGTGTTTAGTGCGGCAGGAGGTATTGTAACTCCGCGGAGGACACAGACTGTCCACCCAAAGTGTGGAGAAGACTCACGTTTGTGAAAATGAATCAGGCGTGGATTAGTCTGGATTTCAAACCACACCAGTTCCTGACACAACTGACTAAATCCGCCATGAATCATGCCCCAAACAATGTTATTATTTTTAACATAGGCCTCTGTATGGCCTTCAATTTAAGCTGCTTACGCTTCGCCACTCTGCCATGGGCCCCTGTACACCGCCATCCTCTTGCTGCTGCCAGGTCCAGAGTGTCTCATGGGTCCCTGTACGGCCTCCCATTGCTGCTGTCTCCATCGCCACACTCTGCCATGTGCCACTTTTCAGGTCTCCTCACACTGCTGGTGGGGTTCCATTTTGTCATAGGGTGCTGGCAGATTACGGGCCTCCCATTTATTTTTGCTGCTGCCAGGCCCGTAATCTGCCATGGGCCCCCGTACCGCCTCCTCATGCTGCTGCCAGGTCCAGAGTGTCTCATGGGTCCCTGTACGGCCTCCCATTGCTGCTGTCTCCATCGCCACACTCTGCCATGTGCCACTTTCAGGTCTCCTCACACTGCTGGTGGGTTCCATTTTGTCATAGGTGCTGGCAGATTACGGGCCTCCCATTGCTGCTGCCAGGCCCGTAATCTGCCATGGGCCCCCGTACCGACTCCTCATGCTGCTGCCAGGCCCGTAAATCTGTCATGGGCCCCTATGTACCACCTCCTCATGCTGCTGCCAGGTCCAGAGTGTGTCATGGGTCCCTGTACGGCCTCCCATTGCTGCTGTCTCCATCGCCACACTCTGCCATGTGCCACTTTCAGGTCTCCTCACACTGCTGGTGGGTTCCATTTTGTCATAGGGTGCTGGCAGATTACGGGCCTCCCATTGCTGCTGCCAGGCTCCCCGTAATCTGCCTATGGGCCCCCGTACCGCCTCCTCATGCTGCTGCCAGGCCCCGTAATCTGTCATGGGCCCCTGTACCGCCCTCCTCATGCTGCTGCCAGATCCAGAGTGATCTCATGGGTCCCTGTACGGCCTCCCATTGCTGCTGTCCTCCTTCGCCACACTCTGCCATGTGCCACTTTCAGGTCTCCTCACACTGCTGGTGGGTTCCATTTTGTCATAGGGTGCTGGCAGATTACGGCCTCCCATTGCTGCTGCCAGGCCCGTAATCTGCCATGGGCCCCCGTACCGCCTCCTCATGCTGCTGCCCAGGTCCAGAGTGTCTCATGGGTCCCTGTACGGCCTCCCATTGCTGCTGTCTCCATCGCCACACTCTGCCATGTGCCACTTTCAGGTCTCTTCAACACTGCTGGTGGGTTTCCATTTTGTCATAGGGTGCTGGCAGATTACGGGCCTCCCCATTGCTACTGCCAGGCCCGTAATCTGCCATGGGCCCCCGTACCGCCTCCTCATGGCTGCTGCCAGGTCCAGAGTGTCTCATGGGTCCCTGTACGGCCTCCCATTGCTGCTGTCTCCATCGCCACACTCTGCCATGTGCCACTTTCAGGTCTCCTCACACTGCTGGTGGGTTCCATTTTGTCATAGGTGCTGTATGGCCTCCCATTGCTGCTGCCTCCACCGCCACACTGTGGCTCCACACTCTGGTTTTTTGGCCCCGTGACTGCCCAAATGAGTGAAGTGTGCGGTGATTCCTAAGATCGACGGCACTCATCTGCATGTCATATTGAGACTGACAGCATTATTTCTCTTCCCCAGCAGACTCCAAGGGCATTTAAATTAAAGGTACAGTGTTCTGCCACTAATATAAAGGCTCTCTGAAGCCTAGAAACACCCTTTTTATAAGTTAAATTCGCAGCGAATATATTCGACTCGAATCAAATTTTATTCCGCGAATTCGCCGAATCAGCCGAATCGAATTTTTGAATACTCTCGCTCATCTCTAGTTGTGTATTCAGGGGTGGGTTTGCTGCCAGTCTCTCTGTGGTGTGCTCCCTGATTAATCAAAGCATTATCTGAGTGCCTGGCTGCTGATTAGCTTACTGTTCATTAGATCACTGTTAGCAGTTGGCTGTACTGTTTACCTTTTGCATTGTTTAAGATGATGTTCATCAAGCTCTTACCTAATCATGTGGAATGTTTATTCCAATGTGTATTATTTGTGTGGACTGCCCCTATTTTTGAGTGTATAAAAATGCATGTTTCTGTTCAATAAAGTAATTCCATGTTAAATCAAGCTATCAGCAACATATTGACTATCACAACTGCCTAAAACATTTGCACAGCACTATAGATTATTATTATTATACAGTATTTATAAAGCGCCAATAGTTCGCTCAGCGCTGTACATTACAAAAGGGGGACAGAACATGTGACAGAACAATACCAATACAATGCAAAACATGAGGGGATTGAGGGCCCTGCTCTTTCGAGCTTACAATCTAGGAGGGATGCGATGGTGGCACAGGAGGAGATAGCTGTGGGGCATGGAGTGGTAGGAAGAGTGGAGGAGGTCGGCAAGTTAGCAGGGGGTGGGTGAACCCTGAAGAGATGGTTTTCAGGGTGCGCCTTAAGGAGAGGAGAGTAGGTGATAATCTGATGGGTTGGGGCAGGGAGTTCCAGAGGATGGGTGACACCCTGCAGAAGTCCTGGAGGCGGGCATGGGAGGAGGAGACCAGGGAACTAGAGAGAAGGAGGTCTTGTGAGGAGCGGAGTGTGCGTGCTGGGCGGTACTTGGATATTAGGTCAGTGATGTAGTTCGGGGCAGTATGGTGGACAGCTTTGTATGTCAGCGTTAGGATTTTGAATTTGATCCGTTGTGCAATCAGAAGCCAGTGGAGGGATTGGCAGAGGGGGGTGGCAGAGACAGAGCAGTTGGAAAGGTGAATGAGTCTGGCAGCCGTATTCAGGATCGACTGAAGCCAGGATAGTCAGCGGCGTGGCAGGCCAGTGAGGAGGGAGTTGCAGTAGTCGAGTCGTGATAGGATGAGGGAGTGGATGAGCTGTTTAGTGGTTTCTGGGGTTAGGAACGTGCGGATTTTGGCGATGTTGCGGAGGTGGAGTCTGCACGAGTTTGTTAAAGATTGGACTTGGGGCTGGAAGGATAGGTTGGAGTCCAGAATGACACCAAGTACTCTGGCCTGCGGGGCGGGTTTGATGGTAGCGTTGTTCGATGTGATAGAGAAGTCAATGGGGGGTGGTGTCCAGGCTGGGGGAAGACAAGAAACTCGGTTTTGGAGAGGTTCAGTTTAAGGAAGTGGAGCGACATCCAGTCTGATATGTCGCTCAGCAGGTGTGTGATTCGGGCGGAGCCCGCGGGGGTGAGGTGGGGGGGTTGAGAGATAGATTTGTGTGTCGTCGGCATAGAGTTGGTAGTTGAAGCCGTGAGAGTGTATGAGTTGGCCAAGGGAGGAGGTATAGATGGAGAAGAGAAGGGGCCCAAGGACAGAGCCTTGAGGGACCCCCAACAGAGAGGGGGAGGAGTGAGAGGGAGGTGGTAGCATTATAGGTAACACTGAAAGAGCGTTGTGACAGGTAGGATGAGAGCCAGGAGAGAGCAGAATCTCTGAGGCCGAAGGAATGTAGTTTTTTGAGGAGGAGGGGGTGGTCAACTGTGTCGAAGGCCGCAGAGAGGTCAAGGAGTAGGAGCACTGAATAGTGGCCATTAGCTTTGGCGGTTAGCAGGTCTTTGGAGAGTTTGAGTAAGGCAGTTTCGGTGGAGTGTAGGGGACGGAAGCCGGACTGTAGGGGATCGAGGAGGTTGTTGTCGTTGAGGTGAGAGCATGGCGGGTGTAGACTAGGCGCTCGAGGAGTTTAAATGTAAATGGGAGCAGGGAGATGGGTCTGAGGTTGTTCGGGTCATTGGGGTCCAGGGAGGGCTTTTTAAGTATGGGGGTGGTGTGTGCATGTTTCAGAGGGGAGGGGAAAGTGCCGGAGGAGAGGGAGAGATTAAAGATGTGGGTGAGGGAGCGTAGGATGGAGGGGGAGGGAGGTCATAGGAGTTGTGAGGGGATAGGGTCGAGGGGGCAGGTGGTGAGGCGGGCATCAGAGAGAATCTTGGAGACTTCCTCGTAAGGTCAAAGGTGCGGAGTGTTGGGGGAGCTTCAGTATGAGGAATGTAGGGTGGGGTGGAAGAGGAGGTCAGAGCAGTGGTGGGGCCGTGGGAGAGGGGTGATGAGGGAGTAGCTGAGTGAGGGGGAAGGGGGTTGGAGGGAGTTTGAGCAGCGACGAAGTCCCTGCGGGTTGTGTCGAGGGGGAGGGGGGATGAGGGGGTAGCTGTGTGAGAGGGGACGGGTTGAGAGGGCATGTGAGTTGCGGCGATGTCCTTGCGAATTGTGTAAATCTTGTTTTTGAAGTGATTGGCAATCTCAAGGGCAGTGAGTGAGGTGCTGGGTGGAGGTGGGGGTGGCGAGAGTAGAGAGTTGAAGGTGGAGAAGAGTCGGCGAGGATTGGAGGAGAGGGCCTTGATGAGGGTTAGGAAGTAGGCTTGTTTGGCTGCGTGGAGGGAGGAGGTGTAGGTGTGGAAGGCAGATTTGTAGCGGGAGAAGGCTTGTTGGGATTTTGTTTTGCGCCATAGTCGCTCCAGGGCACGACTGTGTCGTTTGAGGGTTTTGGTGTGATCAGTCTGCCAGGGCTGGAGCGGTCAGGGTCTGATGTTGCGTGTGGTTAAAGGCGCTAGTGAGTCAAGTGCTGTTGAGAGCACGTTGTTGTAGGCGGTCATAGCCAAGTCGGGGCAGGACAGGGAGAGGATGCTGTCGTGGAGTTTATCAGCTGCAGATTGGAGGGGGGTAGGGTTAAGGTTGAGGTTTAAGGGTTAAGGTTAGATAATTGAGTATATGTATATACTGTATATATTGATATCATGTTTCGGTCCACCTGATGCCGCCAGGTTGTACCAGGACTGTCCAGGTGCTCAGTGATGCCCTGGTCCAGATTTGGGAGGAAATACCCCAGGACACGATCTGTCATCTCATTAGGAGCATACCCTGACATTGTCAGGCATGCATACAAGCATGTGGGGGCCATACAAACTACTGTGTTGCTGCAAGGAAATTTCAGTAAAATGGTCTAGCCTGCTGCATAATTTTTTCACTTTGATTTTCAGTGTGTCTTTGAACTCAGTCCTGTGTAGATTGATAATTTTTCATTTCCATCAAACAATGAAGCATCCCTGCGTTCCTAACACATTACCCAGTCCATATAGATATCTAGCATATTTTTCCCCATTGAGATTTAATGTGTTTCCAAAGTGTTCCTTTACTTTTTTGGAGCAGTGAATAATATATATATATATATATATATATATATATATATATATATATATATATCTGTCTATCATTGTCATAGCCAGTGAGAGCAAGTCATAGTCACATGGTTGAATATGATCACTATGGCAAATTATGCATGCGTTTTCAAGGATTGTTCCCACATAGAACTTTATTTATAGAGCTTTATTTGTTTTACTAAATAGCTATCCATCGTGTCTTTATTTTAGATTTGTGGTATCAGATGATTTTACCTCCTCACTTTGACAAATCCAAGAAATATCCTTTATTAATTGATGTGTAAGTATACAACAATATAGGTTTGTGACATGATCTCTTTAAAGTGTTACTAAACCCACAATAGTAAAATCAATCTGTATATGCAGTAAAGCATGCTTTTTATACTCACTGTGGAACCTAAGAGGTTAATCCTCCACAATATGTAAAAAGGATGTTTGATCCTGTCTTCTCTGATCCTCCTCTTTTTACTGTCCCCAATCCATCTGCTGACAGTACAGAACTCTAGGAGTCACTCTGCACATGCTCATTTTAGTGTGTATTGCCAGAGTTTTTTTTTTCTTTGGTACGGTGCATGTGATTGGCAAAGGGCCAATCAGCGCTGTCCAGATAGAGGGTCAGGGGTCCTGCAGCCTCATAGGACAATCAGGGGAGAATGAAAACCCCTCCTACAAGATTAACCAGTGCTCTGCTGGACACCAGTGCTCTGCTGGACACTGATAGAAGCCACAAGACTGATATATACTGCTGATGAAAAATGTATTTAGCAGTTTATATTTACTAAAATAATTGCATTTCCATGTTGTGTATACAGTGGGAGAGCAGATATAGTGAATGCAGGGTACTGGGTTTAGTAACACTTTAAGATTCTGGATACATTTTTTTATATTTTTCAGAAGATGACTGAGGTCATAGTTGTTGTTTTATTGATTTGTTTTTATGTTTATCATTTTCTGAATGCTTTTTTTAATTCAGACACTCTTGATTATGCATTAATGTTGACAGTTATGCAGGACCTTGCAGCCAGAAAGTTGACCAGTATTTCAGGCTAAACTGGGCTACATACTTGGCTAGCACGGAGAAGATTATCGTGGCCAGTTTTGATGGTCGAGGGAGTGGATATCAAGGTGACAAAATCATGCATGAGATATACAGGCAGCTGGGGACAGTAGAGGTCGCAGATCAAATTTCTGCTGGCAGGTAAGTCTGCACTGACACTGACACATGGTTATGATTGGGCTTATTCAGTAAAGCTGGTTAAAGTACAGAGAGGATGTGCAAATTGTAGGAACACACAGCAGCATAGAATGTGACATATTGATCTTGTACATCTTGTCTGCATGTTCCTGCTTTTTTCAAAATTGGAAGACATGTTGATATCAGCTGGCTAATCACTAATTCAACTTTTTATATGTGACTGTGCCTTATGGAAAAGAAAAACTCCACTTAAAAGTAAATAAATAATAATATATATATATATATATATATATATATATATATATATACTGTATATATATATTCATACACACTCATCGGCCACTTTATGAGTTACACATTGCTAGTATTGGGTTGGACCCCCTTTTGCCTTAAGAACTGCCTTAATTTTTCATGGCATAAATTCAACAAGGTGTTGGAAACATTCCTCAGAGATTTTGGTCCATACTGACATGATAGCATCATGCAGTTGCTGCAGATTTGTCAGCTGCACATCCATGAACGGTTGATACAAGGCAGGATGGATCCATGCTTTCATGTTGTTTACGCCAAATTCTGACCCTACCATCTAAGTGTCGCAGCTGAAATTGAGACTCATCAGACCAGACAATGTTTTTCCAATCTTCTATTGTCCACTTTTGGAGAACCTGTGTGAAGTGTAGCCTCCGTTTCCTGTTCTTAGCTGACAGGAGTGGCACCCGGTTTGGTCTTCTACTGCTGTAGCCCATCTACTTCAAGGTTTGACGTGTTATGCATTCAGAGATGGTATTCTGCATACCTTGGTTGTAACAAGTGGTTATTTGAGTTTCTGTTGTCTTTTAATCATCTTAAACCAGTCTGCCGATTCTCCTCTGACATCAACAAGGCATTTTCGTCCACACAACTACCGCTTACTGGATATTTTCTCTATTTCAGACCTTTCTCTAGAAGAGAACCCTAGAGATGGTTGTGCATGAAAATCCCAGTAGATTAGCAGTTTTTGTAATACTCAGACCAGCCTGTTCGGCACCAACAACCATGTTACATTCAAAGTCACTGAAATTATATATATATATATATATATATATATATATATATATATATTTATTAGTAAGCTCCCAAGAGCAGGGCCCTCCTAACCCTCTTGTATTTAAATGTATTGTTGTTGTATTGTCTCCCTTTTTATATTGTAAAGCACTGAGCAAACTGTTGGCGCTATATAAATCCTGTATAATAATAAAAAATATATAGCTTACTTTGGCAGCCAATATTCCAATGGTGGAGGGCTGTGTACAGCAAGTCCATAGCATAGAAAGCAAAACATTTGCTTATCCAAGCCACTATCTCTTGTCCTTTCCTTAATAACAAGGTGTCCCTTAATGGGTTCCCCAACACAACAGGCAGCATCTGTACCTTTATAGTGTTCTGTTAGCCGTCAGTCTTTTTACCATGTGTTTCTCATTTAGGCACTTTGCATCCTTGGGGTATGTTGATGAAACAAGGATGGCTATTTGGGGATGGGTAAGTACTACATTACTTTTCTATTTTTATTCAACAGTTCATGTGATAATAAAATATTACTCAGCCGATTGTCAGAAATAAATACTGTGTATAAAATGCACATGTTATTGTGGCTCAATATTCATTAATATTCATTAAAGGAGAAATGTGGGGTTTACATATAAGCTCGATGCTACTGCATCTGTCTGATGCTGCAACTGTCCCCTGCTGGCTCTAAGCCTGGGAACTGAGTGATCACATGACTGCTGATCGCTTAGTTCTCAGTCAGCTCTGAGCAGAAAGCAGTTAATGTCAGTTACCTCTCTGTGCTCTGCCCCTCTAGCGCTCACGGGAGCACTGGACCATTAATGACATGCAATCTATAGATAGCTTCCTATCAGCAATCATCACAGGTGCACATGTTCTCATCCCAAGGGACCTGTACCTCATGGGGAACTGACAAGAACTTCCACCAGGGTGGTAATATTAGCAAGTTCAGGGGGTAACTCTGATAAAGTAAATTCAAACATTTTGCATATAGGTTTAGCAAATATAAATGAGAAAAAAGACCCATGGACATATTTTAGTTACTTAAAATACAATAAATTACCTGAAAAAGGTATCTATATCATGGGGTATTTGAGATATGATTTACCACCTCAGGAGGTGCTTGGTTAAACAGTGGCTTTTGTAAAGATCTTCATACTTTCAAATGTATTGAAACCCAAAGTCAAAATCTAAAGTATTGTAGATTACCAGTACTTAGATGTGGTAGCTGCATTAGTTTTCCTTTTTCCCTTTATGTTCATCTAGTGATCCTGCAAATACTTTACTTTCCGTTTCTTTGTGTCTCCACTCATTTCTCCACTGTATCCATGGAGGAAGCAATGAGTGTCAAACAAGCTTCACTTCTAACATGTCTACTTTAGTTCATCTCAATTACATTGTGGATTGATGAGACTAGTAGTTTATCCAAAAAAAAAAAGATAGGGATGTTTTTGCTTTCTGTTCAGCTCACAGAACATTAAAAGGACATATAATTTCAGGCAAGATCAACAGGTATTTTCTGTATTTGCTGAAAACGCCCTTAGCCCCAAAAATTAAAATGAATGCAGCCACAACATCTAAGGACTGTAAGCTGCAATATATTAAAGTTTTTTTTATTTAGGTTTAGATATGCATTAAATCTGAGCTACAGGCAGGCAGCTAAATACACAGTTGAAATCGATGTTTGTGAGATGTTTTACCTTACCAAAAAATTTGTAGTTAAGTCAACCAGTGTTGTGATCCAGTCTCCTCTGCTGGACAATATAGCCTGGACAAGTACTGTTTAAAAAGTATCTATAGCTTTGAAGACTGGGTAAGAGTTAAACTCCTGTGAGTTTTTTCCGCCATCATATGCTCCATTGGGAGGATTCCTTCACTTCTTATCTGTTAAAAAGTCTGTCCCCAATACAGAAAGTGAGGAGGAATCTCTCTAACTGAGCCTTCTAACGGATAGCAGTAAAACGGTTCTAACCTTTCCCTATTCAGTACAAAGCTAAAAAAAATTGTTAGATACACTTTAATAGAATTAGCCATCAAACCATTGTTTAGAATCTTTCTCAACAACATGACAAATCGGATGATGATAATAGTAATAATAATAATCATCATTTTAAACTGTATGTATATGTGTCTTTTCAGTCCTATGGAGGTTATGTAACTTCTATGGTACTTGGCAGTGGAAGTGGTGTGTTTAAGTGTGGAATTGCAGTAGCCCCGGTCTCAAGCTGGTTTTATTATGGTATGTGACTCCAAGGTGCAGTATTTTATTAAAACAAAACTCAATTTTTTTAAGGGTATGTCTTCTCAAAACCAATATTCTTCTTTTGGACAAAAATTGGATAATTTGCTATTAAATTATTCAATTGGAGTATGGTGATAGAAAAGCTATACCATTCATAGTTGTTGATTTCTCTCCACTAATACACTTCTTGAAGCCTACATTAACTTTTAATTTAATTCACCTGAATACATTGTGCGTGTGCAAAGTCTCACTGTCTGTTTTCTTTTGAAAGCAGATACAACCTGAGTAGAAAAAACTGTCTCCTGAGAGCATGTTGCAGAAAAGATCAGCATGACAGACAGGGTGCTTGCAGCATATGTTACAAACACAATATCACAAGCATGAGACTGCAGGCTTGGCTGGCTCAAATCAAGTTTGGTTTCCACCCAGAGACTGGCCACATCAATCACCTTGCAGGTCGACAGACAGACAGGAATGCATCATAGCCAAAAGCAGGATGCTGGAATGAGACTAGCAACTGTGATGGATCAGGATCACTAGACGCTCTTGATACTTTGCTCTTTGTGTAGAAGCAGTAGTCTCTCTACAGAGGTCCTAAATCCCCCTCTGCTGTATCAGACCCAAAGCTGTGCAGTCAGCAAACTCAAGATCCTTACTGACTGGAGAGTTTTGCAGAGAGACCACTTTCACACAGAGAGGAAGGTTCTGCAGCATGCTTGTAGGGGACAGGCTTTTCTACTACTGTTGCTACTTTATAAAGCAGCTTTTAGTGCCATCAGAAGATGATAGTCTTCATCGATTCGTAACACAGGTCCCTTAATACATTCTATTGTGATTTGTTAATATCGACTGCGCAAGCCTTAAAGAAGGGGAGGCTTTTCCTCAAAAACGTTAGCTGTCTTTGATGCTCTTAACCAGGGGTCTCCAAACTTTTCAAACAACAGGCCAGTTTATGGTCCTTCAGACTTTACGGAGGCATGTGGGGGTAGAAAATGTCCCAATGTCATTGGGAGTAGACAATGCCTCAGGATTGATGGTCAGTGAGAGTCACAAAATTATCTAACGCCTATGGTCAGTAGGAGGAAGAATCCCATAATTGGTATTAGTGGAAGAAATAGTGCTCGATCATTGGTATTAGGGGTAGGAATTGTGTCCTACTGTTGTTGTCAACTAAAGGAATGGTGTCTCATTGTTAGTGTCAGTGGGAAAAAGAATGTCTTGTATCAATGGGAGGAATAGTGCTAGAGGAAGGAGAGGAGGAGCAGAGGAAGGCTACACTTGGACCACGGGCCACAGTTTGGAGAGCCCTGCTCTCATTAAATGTTTTAAAAGGTCCATTTAAGTGAGACCAGGCACTCCTTCAAGAATTTACCATCTGGCAAGCACCTTCTTTGTTGCTATCAGGAGGTAGAAGCCTAGGACCGGAACATAGTCCACCCACACTATATTTTTATGGCATATACATTAGTTTTCACTTTTGCCGGTGCAGCGCTATCACACACACATCAAAGAAAAAAACCTGTAAGACTTTGAACACTTTTGTTTTGACATACCTGCAATGTAATTACTGTAGCTGATTTAAACTGAAGGTTCCTTTGGGCTTTAAAAACATGTCACACTTATTGATGGTCTTAGTTGTGGTTACCTTTAAAAAGCAAAGCTGGAAACGCAGGCAAGGATATCTTGGTACCAAAGCCCCATTTAAAAAAAAAAAGAAACAATATGCTGGTTTGTGATTTAAAACTGCGATGTCCATCAGATTTTGGGGGACTTGATCTTTTTATTTTAATGAAACCTCCTAGAACATTTATTAGTAGCTCACAGATTGCTCTCAGTTGTTACCAGTGATTGCTCCATAATTTCACAGTTTAACAATACTACTGACTGATTTAAAAAAATAGCAAGACCTTATGAGCAGATGGAATCACTTACTCATTCATGTCATATGTGTATGAAATTTAGGAGAGGACCCCATTCGTTGAAAAACTGGTTTAAGGGTCCCAATAGACATTAGAGGGTTTTTGTACATACGGAACCTGTCTGCAGCACTAGAACTTAGAGAACATTTAATGCCCATTGTTTGGGGGAGAGTCCAGAATACCGAGAAACTGCTGGATCCTCCAAATGTGCAAAGAAGATGAAAGATTTACAAGTTTGTAAATTGTAATTTGCAGTGGGAGTTATAGATTAGACTTTGGAATGGGCTAAAATCCCACACACATTAGAATCTGATTTCAAGGTTCTCTGGATTTGATATTTAATCGTATAGGGGTATATTGGATCATTTAGCATTTTTTTCATCCTTTTCATTATCTGACATACTGCACTGTATACAATATGCTTCAGTTTATCAGGAAGTAAATAATGTATCAGGATTATTTTGGATTACAAAGTGTAATATGGTATTAGAATTAGTAAAGCACATTTCCTTTGATTTCCCAAACATGTAAATAGGACAGTACCTTCAGAATCTGTCCTATCAGCTGCTTAAAGCATACTCTTTCTTTCTACAAAAGGAAGCAACATGATCAAACTAAACAGTAATATATATTATGTATATGCAAATGTTGACTTTTTGTCAAAAGTCAGCAGCTAAGACTGGTCTCCATCTACATCCATGGGCATGGTCTGAGAGGGAATGGTCTGAGAGAGCTTGTGTCTGTCAGAGGACTAGTGAGGTGTCTTTGATATGCAAGCTGTATTTGATAGTGTGGCTTCACCTTCTCTATGCAGAATAGTTCTTATCTGGCAGCAGTTTGCTAAACATTGGCAAATCAAAGGGTTGTTTTTGTGACATCCAATACCTTGTTAAAGGTTGTCATTCATGATTATATATATGCATGTATCTATCTACCTTTCTATGTGTTTCATATAGTATATATCTAGCCATATACAGTAATATATCACTTTCTATAAATTGCAGATTCTATTTATACAGAGAGATACATGAGCCTACCTACGTTAGAGGATAACCTGAGGAATTATGAGGTATGATATCTTATATTTTCAAACATTGAGTCTTATGGGTCCCTGGTGAAGTGACAGGTGGGTGTAAAGCTTTGGTGAATTGTGCTCTCCCTGTGGTTTACTGCAGAAGAATGAAGGTTTTTATCTGGGTGCCCTGGAGATCCTTTAAGCTCTAGGCTCCTGCCTATGTTGCCTTGTGGATGGTCTGGTCCTGATTAGGGTCAGTTCAGAACCCCTATTTAACAATAATCTGCCCTCGGCTGCCTTTGCTGTATTTGCCCTTATGACGTCTCTGCTTGCAAAAATTGTTATACCTCTTAAAAAATAGTTTCCAGGGTATATAAACTGTAATAATTAATGTTTCAAGCTTACATGGTCATAAAAGGTAGGAACAAGGGATAGTCCATCACATCTCTGAAATTTAGCTTCTCTGGACTAGTCTGTGAGACCTTTCCACTAATTCAGGCTTGGGCCATTAATACTAGAAAATGGAGTTCTCTTATTCTACATGACTTACATAGCGCCAATGGTTTGCTCAGCTTCTTTAAAAGTTTAATTTTACCCATCAGTTAGTTTTCAGGAATAGACACTGCAAAAAAGAATAAAAAAACAAAATAGTAGAACTGCTTACCATTATGTAAAAATGCATCTATTCCATAAATATCATCACCATTACATTTTCTGTTTCCAAAAAAAATTTCTTGTTATTTGTGTGTTACATTAATAAGTGAACTGTAGACAGGACTACACAAATATATTTTTTTCTGTGGTCGGTAAGTAGTGTGACTATTCTGTCCTGCCCCGTCTTTATATCCTGGATAGCTTGTTTCCTGTCACCGAACAAGCTAGCATATACTTGACAGTTACTGAAACAATACAATAATTTGCAGAATTTGGGTTCTTTACAACATCAAGTGATTTAAACCCTACAAATGTCATTAGTCATGTTTCCGAGACAAAAATTGGTATACCTCATTAAAAAAATGCTTCCAGGGTAATTAAACTCTAATTAAAATGTAATTTAAGCAGCTTCATGCTTACATGGTCATAAAAGGTAATAAGAAAAAGGGGCAGGCTATCACTTCTGACATATAGCTTCTGAACTAAAGTTCTTGAGACCTTCCCACCAGTTCAGGCTTAGACAAGTAACACTGTTAAATGGAGTTCCCCTTACATGTTTAATTTTCAGTAAGTTTTCAGGAATAAACACTGAAAAATGAAGACAAAACAGTATACATGCTTACCATTTTGTTGAAATTGAATCTATTCCTTGTTGTTTGTGTGTGTTACATTTATAAGTGAACTGTAGACCGAACCTTATGCACCCATTTTGTTTTCTGTGATCGATAAGTCATGTGACTGCTCTGTCCTGCCCCATCTTTCTGTCCTGGATGGCTAGTTGCCTGTCACTGAACAAGTTAGCATATACCTGACAGTTACTGAAACAATACTTTGTGGAATGTGGGTTCCTAACAGGGTCAAGAGAATAAGCCTTACAAATTATGTTAGTCAGTGGTGAGCCTGTTCCGGAAAAGACATAGTTATATAGTTAGTCTAGCTGAAAAAGACAAAAGTCCATCTAGTTCACCCATAAAAAAAGTTATAATCCTATATCTACAGTTGATTCAGAGAAAGGCAAAAAAAAAAAAAAAACCCGAGAGAAAGAATTGTCCAATTTGCTAGTGCAAGGGAAAAAGTTCCTTCCTGATTCCCCAAGAGGAAATTGGATATTCCCTGGATCAACTTTACCTATAAATGTTAGTATCCAGTTATATTTTGTATATCTAGGAAAGAATCCAGGCCTTTTTTAAAGCCATCCACTGAGGTGGCCAGAACCAACTCTTGAGGGAGTCTATTCCACATTTTCACAGCTCTTACTGTGAAGACATCTTTCTGTATTTGCAAATTAAATCTCTTTTACTTCAGACGTAAAGAGTGCCCCCTTGTCCTCTGTGATGACCTCAGAGTGAATAACTCTACACTGAGTTCACTATATGAACCACTGAACCATGCTGATCATATCCCCCCTTAATCTCCTCTTCTCAAGAGATAATAAATTCATTGCCTCTAATCTTTCCTCATTGCTGATCTCCCCCATGCCTCGTATCAGTTTGGTTGCCCTTCTCTGTTCTTTCTCCAGTTTCCCCAATGTTCTTTTTGTGAATTGGAGCCCAAAACTGAACTGAATATTCCAGATGAGGTCTTACTAATGATGTGTACCGGGGGTAATATGATAGCTCTCTCTCTGGAGTCTATACCTCTGTTAATACAAGAGAGGATTTTGCTCACTTTAGAAACCGCAGCTTGGCATTGCATGCCATTATTAAGCTTGTGATCTACCAGAACTCCCAGATCCTTCTCCACCATTGATTCCCCCAGTTGTACCCCCCCCCCCCCCCCCAGTATGTATGCTGCATGCATATTCTTAGCCCCCAAGTGCATAACTTTACATTTATCAACATTAAACCTCATTTTCCACATAGTTGCCCAATTAACCACTTGCCCTCCAGAGGATTTACACCCCCCCCGACCAGGCCATTTTTTGTGTTACGGCGCTGTGTTACTTTAACGAACAATTGTGCGGTCATGCAATGCTACACCCAAATTAAGTTTACATCCATTTTTTTCCCACAAATTGAGCTTTATTTTGATGTTATTTGATTGCTTTTTTTATTTTTTGCGATATAAAAAAAAAACAACCAACAATTTTTGAGAAAAAACTATATTTTTGACTTTTTGCTATTAAACATGTCCAGTAAAAAGATCAAATATTGTCATAAATTTAAGCCAAAATGTATTCTGCTACATGTCTTTGCTAAAAAAAAAAAATCCCAATACGTGTAAATTAATTGGTTTACATGAAAGTTATAGCGTTTACAAATGGCACTATATATACTGGGCTTTTTTTTTACATTTTTACTAGTAATGGCGGCGATCAGCGACTGCAGTGGGCATTCTGACACTGGGGGAAACTGACTTGGTGTCACTGACATCTCCAGTGACACCGATACAGTGATCAGTGCTAATAAAAAGCACTGACACTGTACTTATGGCACTGGGCAGGAAGAGGTTAACATGTGGGACAATCAAAGGGTTAACTGTGTGCTGTTTTACTATAAGTTGTGTCTGTGTGCTTCACTGTAAGCACACTGCTGTGCATGGCTGTGCTGTGCACAGTCATGCAAAGCAGTGTGCTCGAGCTGACAGGGAGGATAACTGTTTTGTTTACAAACAGTTCTCCCCCCGTTGGAGATGCTCGGCAATCACCAGGCGCCGGCGAGGTGATTGTCAGCCGCAGCCCCCTACCTGGAAATGCAAAATCACGTATATATACATGATTTTGCACACCCGTGCTGCCCTGTAGCAGTATTTCTACTATAGGGCGGACGGGAAGCGGTTAATTAGTGCATTGCGGTTGGCTTGTAAGTTGAAGACATCCTGTAAGGACGTTATTCCACTGCTCAGCTTGGTGTCATCTGCAAAGACTAAAATGGTATTTTTAATCCAAGACCCTATATTGTTTATAAATCTATTAAAAAGTAAGGGTCCCAACACTGAACCTTGGGGTACACCACTGACAACCCTACACCATTCAGAGTATGAATCATTAACCGCTACTCTCTAATTACGTTTTTTTAGCCAGTTTTCCATCCATTTACATACTAATTTTTCCAAGCCTGTAGACTTTACCTTACACATTATGTGTGGGGAACTGTGTCAAACGCTTTTGCAAAATCCAAGTATACCACGTCCACCGCCACTCCTCTGTCCAAGCCTACCGCGTCCACCGCCACCCTCTGTCCAAGGTTTTGCTCACCTCCTCATAAAAAGAATCAGATTTGTTTGACAGCTTCTGTCTTTCATGAATCCATGCTGTCTGTTGCTACAAATATTCTTTTCAAGCAAATACTCATCTATTATTATTATTATTATTATTATACAGGATTTATATAGTGCCAAACGTTTGCTCAGCGCTTTACAATATAAGGGAGACAGTACAATTACAATACATTTCAGTACAGAAGGAATAGGAGGACCCTGCTCGTGAAGCTTACAATCTAAAGGTCTTTGTGGTCTTTCATTAAACTCTCGTATCTTCCCAAATATAAACTAACAGGACTATAATTACTTGGTAAAGATTTTAATCCCTTTTTTAAATATAGGCACCACATTGGCTTTATGCTAGTCCAGTGGTATTATGCCAGTCTTTAAAGAATCCCTTTACATTAGAAATGGCTTTGAAATGACAGAGCTCAATTCTTTAAGGATCCATGGGTGTATGCCATCTGGTCCAGGTGCTTTATTCACCTTTATTCTGTCTAAATATTTTTGGATCATGTCAATTGTGAGCCAATGTGGATCATCTGGAGCTGTGTCAATACCATGCCCATTATGGACAAGAGCTCTCCCCATGCTCCTTTGTATACACAGAGCTGAAGAAGGTATTTTATAAATTTGCCTTCTCTTTGTCCCCAGTCACACCCACTCTAAATTATTTTGTAAAGGGCCTACATGCTCGGACCTGACCTTTTTACTATTAATATATTTGAAGACGCCACATAGGTTTTATTTTTAGCCTTTTAAAATAAACTTGTTGCCCATGGGAATGTATTTTGCAGTGTGTTCACATACAGTCTTATTAAAGTTTAAAAAGTTTACATCTGACAAGGACAGGACCATCTTTAAAAATGACCAGAATTTTAGAGTTAAATGTTTTTTGGAGGAGCATTATGAGAAATGGTCCAAAAGTTTCTTCTATCCAGTGGTATATTATAGTTATCTCCAGCTCCGTGAGAGATACAATTCAATTTGTTTTTCCACTGGAAAGAATTTTTTAATAGTTAAATCAAAACCTTTTTTTTTCTGCAGAGTTCGACGGTCATGGCTAAAGCAGCGCAGTTTAAGGACGTAGGATACCTCCTCATCCACGGCACAGCAGATGGTGAGTCTCCTCTAATTAGGTTTCTACTACCCATGACAGATTTCCAGCATCAAAACTGACAAAACAAAAACTTGATGGCCAAATGTTATATTGTGATGACCGAGACAGAACAACACTAATTGTCTACAAATGTAAATTATTAGTTGTGTAAGTGTGATGAAATCTTAACTTGCATATGTTTTTCTGAGGAGCATTAGTTTCAGTAGATATTTATTAAGCATGTGAGAATGCTTCTTAAATCCTGTAAGGCCCTAAAGCAACCTTCAGTGTCAATCCAGTGGTGAAAACTTAAAAGGTCAATGCAAGAGCTGTCTGTGGCTTTACATACACACTGTAGCCAGTCTTATGTAGCGCTACCTCCAAAGGAGTTGCTGGGTAATTTGGGCTTTCTGTTTTGCACCTCGGCTACAAGAGCAACACAGCCCCTCTGGTTGAATGAAAGTTACTGCAAGCACTTATAAGTAACATGGGTATAGATACCTTTAGCTCAGCTGTGAATTAGGCACAAGACCGTTTAGTAGTAAATGAACTCAATGTATTGGTATGGGTTAGAATAAATGGTGGCTTGAGCATAAATTAACACACAGAAGGTAGGTTCAGACACAGTCCACTAGACAGTATAATCACTATGCTAAGGTAACTTAGAATAGAGTTCTGTACCACTAGAGTGGGATTAAATCATGAATTGGCAAAGTCATCAATAAGCAGACCATATAAGCATTAACTGCGTTGTGAAGAACTATACTAAAACTACTCTACAGTTCACTCTAGGAGAATGGCTAAGATATGGTACAATGTTCCCTGAGAGATACCTCTTAGCATAAGCAATAGGTGAAGGCCTCTGTGTAGCAGCTGAAAAAGGACAGTCTTTAGGTCTAACCCCTTCTGCTGGCTAAAGTTGGGGGCCAATTATACAGTTGGTGCACATAAAAATAGTCCCGATCAAGCCTGCAGGCAGCAGTAAGGCTACTAGATGGCTGTATGTTCAGTCTCTCTGTCAACAGATAGTAAATCCCCACATCAGCAGCTTACCAGTCCCAGCAAAATTGCCTCTCACCATCTGTTCACACATAGTGATTAGTCCATTCTGTGCTCTGCATCCAGGCAACCCTAGCTGTCGGCACCCCGAACTCAGTGCCCTGGATCTCTCAGGCCTTCAATATGTAGCAGTAATGATGCACACTGGACAGTGTTGTGCACTACCCAATGGCAAGAGAAAGCTGTATCCTGTACAGCTTGAGAAAAATCAGCTCTTTCACCTCCTCCTGGTAATCTCCCTCTGGGAAAAGCTCTTGATTACAGTAGAGGCTCTCTTCTCTGGACTACAGTTCCCACAGTGCAGTGCTGCCTGACTCTACTTAACTCTTCCTGCTCAGCAGCTCCCTCTTCTTGCTCATATAGCTGTTAACCAGTTCAGCACACAACAGGGCAGCAGCTACAAAGAGCAGCTGCAGCTAGTGTTTCCCTCACTTTCACTAGCTGAAGGGTGCTTTAAAGCTACACTTCATTTATATCTGACAATTAAAGTGTACTTATAGCTCCATTTTCTTGTTTTGGACAGCATAGTGAGGGGATAGAACCCCTGTCAGGTTTTTACTGCTGCCTGGATTCCTTTTGAGAGTGGTCAGCAGGGCTGAAAATCTGTCACAAAGACACTAAAAGGTGCAGCAAAATCTACAATTTTGATTTGTCACTAGTGATGATGATGGGTTTTGTTTGAATCCAAGTTCATCCAAACCTTAATGTTATCTGCTCTTGCCCATCAAACCCACTTTGGACTGAACCTAAGCTCATCCATGGTTGTCACCACAGCAACAGTAAGAAGGAAATTGTCCAAGAGGGCGCTTGTTCTGGTGAAAACTTTCGAACAGTCCACTTTACTTCCATATATATTGGTAATCTTTTGATCTGTGAACACCTTTTTCTTTAAACCTTTATTATTCAAATATTTCCAAACACACTCCCTCTAGTCTCCTTGCTGTATCAGATTGTCAGTACTGAGACAGTTCTCACAACCAACAATCAGATTAAAACCTGCAAGTTTGAGTCTGATTGATCAAACATTAAAGAAGAATTATCACCACAAGAGAAAAAAAAACTTTTTAAATCCTCCAGGAGTCCATGTGAACATAGTGCTTGTCTCCATTAAAATATGAACAATGAAAGGTAAATTAAATACTGTAAATGTTTCTTTCTGTCATTGCTGGCAGTAGCTCCACAACCCCCCAAGCCTATAAATATGGCCTTTCTAATCTGGAGATTACAACCAGCAGAGAGTAGAAACTGTGTATCAAACAACACAGCTCAGCAACCCTTCCAGGAATTTGGATGGGGGAATCACCTGGGGGAATTAACAAATTTTTGTTTTCGTCTGTTGATCTTCTTTAATCACAAAGGGGCTAGGTTACACTTCCAAAGCTTCAGGAAAAATTTAATTCATCAAGATGCTTTCCACCTTAAGCACTGCTTCCAGATTGTGCAGATCTTTGTGTGTAGTAACATTTATAATACCACAAGTGTCTTTCAGAGTTATTAACATAAGTAGACACTTATAACTGAGAGAAATTAGGGAAGATTACACCAGATTATTTCACCAATTTCCTAATTATTTATGTGGATTGTTCATGTATCACAGTATATTTGCTTTATTTTTTTTAATCGTTTTCACTATAGTTTTCATAGTTCTGAAGGTTTATAGTTCAGTAATATTTGGGCAGCACAGTGGCTAAACGGTTAGCACTTCCACCTGGCATTACTAGGGTTGTTGGTTCAAATCCCAACCACAGCACCACCTGCCTGGAGTTGTCACGTTCTCCCTGTGCCTGCGTGGGTTTCCTCTGGGTACTCTGGTTTCCTCCCACATTCCAAAGACATGCTAGTAGGTGCATTGGCTCCTGTCTAAATTGGCTTCAGTATGTGTGTGTATGTATGTAAGTTAGGGGCCTTAGATTGTATGCTCCTTGAGGGTAGGAACAGATGTGAATGTACTATATACAGTTGTGTTCAAAATAATAGCAGTGTGTTGAAAAAAAAGTGAATAAAGCTCAAAATCCTTCTAATAGCTTTTATTTCCATACACACAAATGCATTGGGAACACGACACATTCTATTCCAAATCAAAACATGAAGAAAAATATATCAAATTTGTGTTGTTCCTCTAAAAAAATTGAAGAAAAGTGAATATTAGACTGTTCAAAAAAATAGCAGTGTTTGTATTCTTCTTTACAAACTCAAACATTCACTATATAAACTGAAAAATGTTTGAAGATTTTGCTTTCCTTTGAATCACTTACCGTATTTTTCGCTCCATAAGACGCACCTGACCATAAGACGCACCTAGGTTTTAGAGGCAGAAAACAGGAAAAAAAAAATTCTGAACTAATGGACTGCAGACATAGTACAGGAGATGACCAGAGACTGCGGACACAGTACAGGAGATGACCAGAGACTGCGGACACAGTACAGGAGATGACCAGAGACTGCGGACATAGTACAGGAGATGACCAGAGACTGCGGACACAGTACAGGAGATGACCAGAGACTGCGGACACTGTACAGGAGATGACCAGAGACTGCGTACATAGTACAGGAGATGACCAGAGACTGCGGACACAGTACAGGAGATGACCAGAGACTGCGGACACAGTTCAGGAGATGACCAGAGACTGCGGACACTGTACAGGAGATGACCAGAGACTGCGTACATAGTACAGGAGATGACCAGAGACTGCGGACACAGTACAGGGATGACCAGAGACTGCGGACACAGTTCAGGAGATGACCAGAGACTGCGGACACTGTACAGGAGATGACCAGAGACTGCGGACATAGTACAGGAGATGACCAGAGACTGCGGACACAGTACAGGGATGACCAGAGACTGCGGCCACAGTACAGGAGATGACCAGAGACTGCGGACACAGTGCAGGAGATGACCAGAGACTGCGGACACAGTACAGGGATGACCAGAGACTGCGGACACAGTACAGGAGATGACCAGAGACCGCGGACACAGTACAGGAGATGACCAGAGACTGCGGACATAGTACAAGAGTAACCAGATACTGCGGACAGAGTACAGGAGACTGCCAGAGACCACGGACATAGTACAGGAGATGACCAGAGACCGCAGACACAGTACAGGAGATGACCAGAGACTGCAGACACAGTACAGGAGATGACCAGAGACTGCGGACACAGTGCAGGAGATGACCAGAGACTGCGGACACAGTACAGGGATGACCAGAGACTGCGGACACAGTACAGGGGATGACCAGAGACTGCGGACACAGTGCAGGAGATGACCAGAGACTGCGGACACAGTACAGGGATGACCAGAGACTGCGGACACAGTGCAGGGATGACCAGAGACTGCGGACACAGTACAGGGATGACCAGAGACTGCGGACACAGTACAGGGATGACCAGAGACTGCGGACAGCACAGGGATGACCAGAGACTGCGGACAGCACAGGGATGACCAGAGACTGCGGACAGCACAGGGATGACCAGAGACTGTGGATAGTACGGGGGATGACTGCTGACCTTTGGGGAGGGGGGGGAGCGGGTACCTGAATTTGACAGATACCCGCTCCCACTTCCGCGGAGTTGTTCTTTCATCTTACCTGTTCCTCTATCCAGCCGCGCGCTGTCTTCCCGGCTTCTGTAATGGCGCTCGGCATGACAGCCGGGTGCCCAGTGCGCATGAGCGAGAAGCACTTGCGCTTTGTGATTGGTCCGGCGGCTTCTGGATCTGTCATGTGTCCCAGGTGCCGCCTTACCATTCACAAAAAGCACCGCTTCCTGCGCATGCGCACTTGGCACCCGGCTGTCATGCCCACACTACAGAAACGGGAAGACCGCGCCGCTGGATAGAGGAACGGGTAAGATGAAAGAACAACTCCACGGAAGTGGGAGCGGGTATCTGTCAAATTCAGGTACCCGCTCCCCCCCTCCCCAAAGGTCAGCAGTCATCTCTATAAGGTCCCGCTGTAGAGCTGAGCGGCCGGCCCGGTATTCTGACACGGCGGCAGTGGAAATACCGGACCGGCCGCTCCATATTCGCTCCATAAGACGCACTGACATTTTCTCCCCCTTTTTTTTGGGGGAAAAAAGTGCGTCTTATGGTGCGAAAAATACGGTAATATTTAGTTGTATAAGCACTGTTTCTGAGAACTGCTGTACATTTGTGTTGCATGGAGTCAACCAACTTCTGGCACCTGTGAACAGGTATTCCAGCCCAGGATGATTGGACTACATTCCACAGTTCTTCTCTATTTCTTGGTTTTGCCTCAGAAACTGCATTTTTGATGTCACCCCACAAGTTTTCTATTGGATTAAGATCCGGGGATTGGGCTGGCCACTCCATAACGTCAATCTTGTTGGTCTGGAACCAAGATGTTGCACGTTTACTGGTGTGTTTGGGGTCGTTGTCTTGTTGGAACACCCATTTCAAGGGCATTTCCTCTTCAGCATAAGGCAGCATGACCTCTTCAAGTATTCTAATGTATTCAAACTGATTCATGATCCCTGGCATGCGATAAATAGGCCCAACACCGTAGTATGAGAAAACATCCCCATATCATGATGCTTGCGCAACCATGCTTCACTGTCTTCAAAGTGTACTGTGGCTTGAATTCAGTGTTTGGGGGTCGTCTGACAAACTGTCTCTCCGGCCACTAGACCCAAAAAGAACAATCTTACATTCATCAGTCCACAAAATGTTGCGCCATTTCTCTTTAGGCCAGTCAATGTGCTCTTTGGCAAATTGTAACCTCTTCAGCGCATGTCTTTTTTTTCAACAGTGGGACTTTGCGGGGCTTCTTGCAGATATCTTGGTTTCACATAGGCGTCTTCTAATTGTAACAGTACTCACAGGGAACTTTAGACCTTTCATCTTCCTGGAGCTGATTGTTGGCTGAGTCCTTGCCATTTTGGCTATTCTTTATCCTTTCGAATGGTAGTTTTTCTCTTTCTTCCATGTCTTTCAGGTTTTGGTTTCCATTTTAAAGCATTTGCGATCATTTTAGCTGAGCAGCCTATCATTTTCTGCACTTCTTTATATGTTTTCCCCTCTCCAATCAACTTTTTAATCAAGGTACGCTGTTCTTCTGAACAATGTCTGGAACGACCCATTTTCCTCAGAATTTCAGAGAGAAATGCACTGTAACCAGCATGTACAACATTTGCTACCTTCCTTCCTTAAATAAGGGCAATAATTGCCACCTGTTTTTCAAAGAATGAATGACCTCACTAATAAAAACTCCACACTGCTATTATTTTGAACATGCCCCTTTCAATTAGTGATTCAATTACACAGAATCAGCAGCATGCATGTTATGACTGTTGGGTCTGTTGGATTTCTATTACTCTACTACACCTGCTAGTAAATTATTTACCATGTAGAAATATCATTTCTACCAAAAACAGTGATTGATCCGGTTAGTGATGTCTGACTGCTATTATTTTGAACACAACTGTATATGTAAAGCGCAGTGTAAATTGATGGCGCTATATAAGTACCTGTAATAATATAATAATAGGTTCTATCACTGGAAAATATTACTTCAAATACTTTGGTTGCTGACAAAACCATGATGCAATCGGTTTACTGACTTTTTGTTTTTTGTTTCTTTTACAGATAATGTGCACTTCCAGCAAGCAGCCCAAATCTCCAAGGCACTTGTAGATGCCGGAGTAGACTTTGAATCCATGGTAAATTTTATATTTTTTATAAAGTGCTCTAAACACTTATCTTTAAGGGCCCATTTTCATCTGTGTTTTTTAACTTTTACACTTTAATGTATTTAGGTGTGTGCAGTAGATTGACATTGTTTTCATTGTGCTAGTTCACACTTATGCAGTGCATTGGCATACACTGGCCAAAAAAGTCACATTTTGTTATAAGGGCTTTGGATAAAAAAGGTAATGCGTCATCAAGTGCAGTGCATGAAAAATGCACCTCAAAAATGCGCTGCGATTCTAATACACTGCTCAAAAAAATGAAAGGAACACTTTTTAATCAGAGTTTAGCATCAAGTCAGTTTAAACTCCTGGGATATTGATCTTGTCAGTTAAGTAGCAGAGGGGTTTGTTAATCAGTTCCAGCTGCTTTGGTGTTAATGAAATTAACAGGTGCACTAAATGGGAAACAATGAGATGATCCCCAAAACAGGATTGGTTTTACAGGTGAAGGCCACTGACATTTTTTTCCCTGCTCATCTTTTCTGTTTTTCACTAGTTTTGTATTTGGCTGTGGTCAGTGTCACTATTGATAGCATGAGGCTATACTTGGACCCTAAGAGGTTGCACAGGCAGTCCAACTCCTCCAGGATGGCACATCAATATGTGCCATTGCCAGAAGTTTGCTGTGTCTCCCAGCACAGTCTCAAGAGCATGGAGAGAAGATTACAGGAGACAGGCAGTTACTCTAGGAGAGCTGGACAGGGCCGTAGAAGATCCTTAACCCATCAGCAGGACTGGTATCTGCTCCTTTGTGCAAGGAGGAACAGGATGAGCACTGCCAGAGCCCTACAAAATGACCTCCAGCAGGCCACTGGTGTGAATGTCTCTGACCAAACAATCAGAAACAGACTTCATTAGGGCGGACTGAGGGCCCGATGTCCTCTAGTGGGCTCTGTGCTCACTGCCCCGTACCATAGAGCTCAATTGGCGTTTCCCATTGAACACCAGAATTGGCAGGTCCACCACTGGTGCCCTGTACTTTTCACAGATGAGAGCAGGTTCACCCTGAGCACATGTGACAGATATGAAAGGGTCTGGAGAAGCCATGGAGAATGTTATGCTGCCTATAACATCGGTCAGCATGACTGTTTTGGTGGTGGGTCAGTGATGGTCTGGGGAGGCATATCCATGGAGGGACGCACAGACCTCTACAGGCTAGACAATGGCACCTTAACTGCCATTAGGTATCAGGATGAAATCCTTGGACACATTGTCAGACCCTACACTAGTGCAGTTGGTCCTGGGTTCCTCCTGTTATACAACAGTGCCCGTCCTCATGTGGCAAGAGTATGCAGGCAGTTCCTGGAGGATGAAGGAATTGATACCATTGAATAGCCCTCATGCTTGCCTAACCTAAATCCAATAGAACATCTCTGGATCATGTTTTGGTTCATCTGACTCCGCCAGGTTGCACCTGAGACTCTCCAGGAGCTCAGTGATGCCCTGGTCCAGATCTGAAAGGAAATACCCCAGGACACCATCCATCGTGTCATTAGCAGCATGCCCCAACATTGTCAGGTATGCATACAAGCACGTGGGGACCATACAAATAACTGAGCACCATTTTGAGTTGCTGCAATGAAATTTCAGCAAAATGGACTAGCCTGCTGCATCATTTGTTCACTTTGATTTTCAGAGTGTCTTTGAATTCAGTCCTCTGTAAGTTGATGATCTTAATTTCCATCCATGACAGGGCATCCTTACATTCCTAACACATTATCCAGTCCATATCAGTGTAGATATCCAGCATGATATTTGTGCCCATTAAGATCTAATGTATTTTCAAAGTGTTCCTTTAATTTTTTTTGAGCAGTGTGAATCCATCCTAAAGGCAATCTCTCTGGAGAATGCATCAGAATTTTATTGCTGGGGAACAACTACTGCCTCAAAACATTTCATTGTGATTGGATTAAGGTGCCAAGTTACCTGTATGGTTATAAATGCTGAGATATGTCCTTCACACTCAGATTTGAAGAAGCTACTTGTACATGCAGAGAACCTTATTCAACATCATAGAAATCCAGCTGCATATTCGTTACCAGGCAAGGTGGTGACACAGGCAGAATGATAGACTCTGAAAGTGGTGCCACAATTTTCACAATTTAAGAATCACAGATAAAACCAAAGGCTGACTTTTTACTTTTAATTTTTGTAAATGTAAAGCCACACTCTTTATCCAACCAGTTATTCTACACAGTCTAAAGTTCTTGGATACCTGTCCATTATATGTATGTTAGCTTGTTGGGCTTGTTGAATATTCCATTCCAAGACATGGGCAATAAAATGGAGTTGCCCCCCCCCCCCCCTCTCCCTTTCCCTGGAATCTACTACTGCCTCCATTCTTTTGGATAGGTATTTCATAAGATCTTGAGGAGTGCCTGTAGGAAGTTGTGCCCAGTCAGCCTAAAGAGCATTTGTAGGGTCAGGTACTGAAGCTGGATAAGAAGACCTAGCTCACAATCCAGTTTATGTTCCAGTTTATGCCAAAGGTGTTCAGCAAAACTGAAGTCAGGGTCCTGTGCAGGCTACTTGAGTTCCTTAACACCTAACTTCTCAAACCATGCCCTTATCATTCTGGCTTTGTGCCCCTGAACTCAAAATTGAAAGGAGTGTCCGCACACATGATTCCACATAGTGTATTATTGTTAATCTCTCTTTTTTTTTTTTTTAGTGGTATACAGACAAAGACCACGGGATAAGTGGCTTGGCACACAGACACATCTACACCCATATGAGTCATTATCTGAAGCAATGCTTTAATCTGCAGTAATCAAAGACAATCTTCCACTTTGTGCCATGGTTGACCGATACACTGTGATGACTAAAAGGAAGCCATTTTGAATCCTTAGGACAACCAAAGAATCACCATACAAAGCAAATGACTTGGAAAACTACTGTAAGAATTAATAAATAAATGAGCAACACAGTGAAATAGACATGCTTTTGGTCATGATTGAAAGTGTGGATGATATAGATGAAAATATCTCACCCACTAATTTTATATTATATTGCTAATTAGGAGAGCGAGCTATTTATATATGAATGTCAAATGTGTATTGTGTTTGCTATTAACCAAATTAGGAAGTGTAGTCTTCTGTTCTGGATAAAGGATTTTGTATACTGGAGAATATGGACTATAAGGATATAAGGAGTGTTCCCATCAATACTATTCCAATGAGAAAAAAAAAATATTACAACTGTGAATAGCTTGACAAGGAAAACTACAAAAAGTAAACAAATACCTTTTATTATCTGTCAAATTCCAGCAAACACTTTTTTTTGTTTAGAACCTTTATCAGAAATTTATTGCTGTCTTTGCCTCTGCTGAGGAGACTTCCCCTCATTTCCTGTCTTGGTGACAGGTGTCCATGTGAAAGAAAGAGAGGAAAACCCTTCAATAAGCTACAAGAATTATTTTACTCAGAGTGGGAAGGGAATAGAGCCTCTATTAGGCTTGTTTTGACTTCTGCGGCCCCCGCTATTTGACTTCTTGTCCAAAAAGCACCTCCAGGAATGGATATGAGGGGTAGACAGACACAGATGCTTCTGGATGTATTGGAAGCTGAAGATTTACCAACCACTGTACTCATGAAGACAATGAAAATCAGTGGCATAGGTGGGAGAGAGTGTATTCACATTCATATTTAAACAGGTAACAGAGTCATTCTGTCACCCCCTTCCCCCCAGCACTTCCCAAAGTTTTACACTCACCTGTCTAATCTTCTGTAAAATTGCACATTGTGCAGCCTATGAGGAGTCAAATGGCTGCCACTGAAAACTGTTCAACCAGGCCTTTGCTTCTTCTTTGCACACGCAGAAAAATATCATTCATACCTATGGAGAGGCCATCTATCGTTGTGACGCATAATAGATGGCTTCTCAATAGGGATAAATAGAAGGGATGGACCAGGTGAACAGCTTGCAGGGGTGACTGTGCATCTCTCTGTGGGGTGCACAGTGTGAATCTCACGGGTGCGTGGACAGGTCAGTATAAAACTTTGGGTGTGGGAGTACTTAAAGGGTAATTAGACCAAAGAAGTTCTTTAAAGTGTTACTAAGCCCAGAACAGTAAAATCAGTGGTTTGCAGTAAAGCATGCTTGACATACTCACTGTGGAACCCAAGGGGTTATTCCTCTGCATTGTGTAAAAATGCTGTTTGATCCTGACTTCTCTGATCCACCCTTCTTCCAGTGTCCCCTTCATATCTCCTGATAAGACATATCATGTGGAGAGACTCTGCACATGCTCAGTTTGGTGTGTATTAGGTTTTTTTTTTTTTTCTTGAGAGAGTGCATGTGATCAGCACAAGGCCAATCAGCACTATCCAGACAGACTTCAGAGGTTCTGCATCCTTCTAGAGCAGAAAGAAAACTCCTTCTACAAGCTTTAACCAGTGCTCTGCTGGACACTGATAGAAGCAACAAGACTGATATATACTGCTGATGAGTAAAGGTATTTAGCAGTTTATATTTACTAAAATAATTGCATTTCCATGTTATGTGTACTGTGGAAGACAAGATAGAGTGAATGCAGGGTGGAAACTTGACACTTGAACCTTCTTCACAGATTAAGACAAATATATAAAACTTATGATAATTTTGAGTTTTTTATCAGATTGTAGCACTCCATTTTAGTCACCACTGGACAGAACCAAGCTTCTTTCCTAGTTTGCAAATTTTCAACAGCATGAAATAATTTTGGGTTTTTTTTTCCACTTCTATTTCCATCATCATTTTCACACACTCTCCATTCACTAAAAAAGAATATTGGGCAAAACGTTTTTGGCCATACTTCTCTTGAGGATCACAAGACTGCACATACTTGCTGGGCGGTTGTGACCCACGGGAAGCTGAGGGTGGGTTTTTTCCCACTCTCAGCTGATGTAGTAGAGCTGCCCCAAGCTTTGGGAAGATCCCAACAAAATTATCAGAATCCACCAGGTTCCCTGATTGACAGCTGCCTCTGCCTCTGCCTCTGCGTGTGGCCCACTGTCTTGCCTGGGGCTTCAGTGAGCACAGCAGAAGCAGAACAGAGAGTGGTGACTGACACTCCACTCTGTGCAGATCGAGTACTGAGTGATCAGCAGTCACATAATCGCTCTTGGTCTTAGAGTTGACACGGGACGGCTGCAACATCACATTGATGCTGCAGCATAGAGGTGGGTATGAATGCTTATTTTTTTAAACACACCAAACTTCTTTGAACACATATTCAAATTCTTACCAGTTCTATGATACATGTGCCAACATTCCCATAGACCTTCTAAGTAATGTCCTTGCAATGTTTGTTTTTTAGCAAGTAATGCAGATTTTGCTCTTAGCAATTACTGTCTGATTTTTGTACTACAAAAACTGATGGGTATATATAAATGTAATAGATGAGCAAACGTATTCAGGAATTTGGCAGATTTTGCCAATTTTCTAATTTTGTTTGCTAGAGGCTGATCCCAAGTCAAATTCAGGTATTTACACTAGTTACATTTAAAAAAATGCAATGTTTTAAAAATAAATACCAAGCTTCATTCGTTTCTGTCTTCTACATCTGTCTGGAGTTCACATTTAATCAATGTACAGTGATTTCTGCTATTTAGAAAAATCTTGGAATATATGAATCTTGATTGCCTGTATTTATGATTTGCATTATTATCCATAGACAAGTCTGTATGTAGAACATTTGTTATTTGCAGAAAATGATCAGATTTGCTGAATTGGCTTGTGCTTATTGTAATATGTTGGAAACAGAAGTTTCATGAGATGTATTTTTTCTGAAATATATAGTATGTGAGTAGATGATTCTAAATATGTTTTACAACACATTCATAATATGTCCTTTCTGTAAATTCTACTGTGAAATAAAACAATAAAGATGTGGCCTGTGCAGGTTTTTATTGTTTGTTTTGTAGAGTTCTTGTGACACGTGTAATTACTTCCAATTGAAATACAGTGTTAACTGAAGCCTAATAAAAGAGCCCTAACAGCTGTATTCAATGAACTTTTGCAAAGTGAACTCAGAAGAAGTAGTTGTATTTAGAAAGGTCATCCAGGTTCCTTTCTGAATGCTGATACCAGTTTTTGACAATGCTGGCTATGAGTAGGCAGATTTGTTCAGCCTAAATTCACACTAGGTGAAATGTGGGATAGCTCACTTCAATTATCCGGTCATGATCAGATAAAATTAGTAAGCATGGACTGTCTTTTCAAAATTGAATAATGTAAGTGACTCAACAAAATTTTTATTGTGTGAACATTTATAAATTCTTTAGTAAATCAGACTCAGTGGGCTTGATTTACTAAAGGCAAATAGACTCTGCACTTTTCAATTGTAATTGCTACAGAACTTAGTAAATGGGATAAAGCTTCACCTTACAAAGAATACCCAATAAGGTGCAAGGAAATGATAAAAACTGATTTTTGCTTGCACATGATTGGACGATGGAAGTCAGCAGAGCTTCCCCTTATTTACTAAGCTCTGGAGCAGCTGCACTTGCAAAGTGCACAGTTTATTTGCCTTTAGTAAATCAACCTCAAACACCTGAGCTAAGCTCTGAGGAAGGGTGTGCACCCCCGAAAGGCATCAGCTTGGCAGGGTTGCATGACTACATGCAATTGATATCCACCGTGGCATCTTGTGGTTTAATACTTTTTCTTCCTCCACTTTTGTGGGTATTCATTTGGCACCTATTGGATTTTATACTAAATAAATCCCTGGTAATACACTAAATGTTTGAGCCATCATGTTCTTTCTTTTTTGTAGGTGCTACGGAATTTCCCCATCTGAGGAGAGCTGCACCAGCTGGTCACTTCTGGTGGAACTTATGGATATCTATTTTTGGCCCCTTCTGGCAGTGGTAGTATTCTGAGTGCTGGAAGTGACCGTTTGTTTTTATGTTTGTGCAAGCCCATTCAGTTTAAATGGTTTGGCAACACACCTTACCACATGAAAAAACATACCTATGACTTTTTTCACAATGCATAGATGGTTCATATCTGTGTGTTGTGCATTGAAATGCAGATACAATAAAGTGAGCCAGGCCATGGGGTGGTGTTGTGCAATGTGGTGCCTCTCATTTCGAATGGCCCCCTGTTGCACCTTTCCAGCTCACAGTCTCCACTCTAATTCATCCCAAAGGTGGTCTATTGGGTTGAGGTCAAGTTCCTCCACCCCATACTTGCTTATCCATGTCTCTATGCACCTTGCTTTCTGCACTGGTGCACAGTGATGTTAGAACAGGAAGGTGCCATCCCCAAACTGTTCTCACAAAGTTTGGAGCATGAAATATTTCAAAATGTCTTGTATGCTGGTGCCTTAAGAGTTTCATTCACTGGAACTAAGGGGCCAAGCCCAACCGGACATGGAAATCCATTCCCTAAAGCTCTCTACAAACTGTTGTTGTGCTAATCTGAAGGCCACATGAAGTTTGGAGGTCTTTAGCTATTCTCTCTGCAAACAGTTGGCGACTTCTGCGCACTGTGCGCTTCAGCATGCGCTGACCACGCTTTGTCACTTTACATGGCCTGCCACTTCGTGGCTGAGTTTCTGTTGTTCCCAGTTGCTTCCACTTTGTTATAGTGCCATAATGCCACTAACAGTTGACCATGGAGTATTTAGTAGCAAGGAAATTTCACGGATGGACTTATTGCACAGGTGGCAACCTATCAAGGTACCACGCTTGAATACCCTGAGCTCCTGAGAGCGACCCATTCTTTCACTAATGTTTGTAGAAGCAGTCTGCATGCCTAGGTGCTTGACTTTATACATCTGTGGCCATG